GTAGTGGCAGTGGTAGTCGCAGTAGTCGAAGTAGTCGTAGTAGTACTAATGTTCCAGGTAGCACTAGTGGTACTCGTAGCAATTCCCCCCCGCGTCCCGAAACTGACCAGCCCGCGAAACTATGGGTACCCGATGACACAACGCCAGGGAGAATGATGAAGTTGATTTCCCCTCTCGGCGGACCGGCAGCCGGATGATGTGTGTTTGTATCGTTCACATGCTGAAGCAAGTAGTGCCACCCCTGAGACTGCATCAGCTGTGACATGAAAAGTTCCTGTGCCAGGATGGATGTCGCCAGACATGTCATACAGCAGCTGCCGCTCAACTTGGATCGCGGATCGAGAGACCAAGCACTGTCAATGTACGAATAAAAAACGAGTGTTGAATTGAACAGATCAGGGCGATGTTAATGGACGAAATCCTGAAGCTTGCACTGCTGCGCACTGTGTCACAGCTCTATTGTCACCTTCAAGCAATTCTTCCAGCGAAGTTGCCGCAATGATACTAAACCAAGCTCTTGATGACGCATTGCGATGCTCAGCCTTGATGAAGAAGCCCTTAGTGCATGGAGGGCATGGTCTCACGGCTTGAGATTTATCATGGCCTTCGCTTTGCGCTCCTGCTAGTAGTGATGATCGTGACCACATGCCACTCTCTTACCCATCCGCGGTCCACTCCACCATGATCACATGTACGGCGCATCGTAGTCGGTAAGCCGGAGCACATGTAGAAAGATGGCCTAGATACGTTTTCGCCTCCCTCATGCCTTTCCGGTGATGTCAGACACCTGATCTCCGAGAAACTGTTCAACAGGAAGAGGACTCCCTACGAGGGACCTCCCATCCATTCTGCTGCTGTCGACGAAGTACAAGATCTAGCCCAGTGACTTGGGCGAAGCTAGTAAGCAGCGAGTATGGGAGCTGCATGTACTGAGCTGGAAGTTCTATGGGGAGGTCCTGAGGTCTATGCAATGCCCGGCTACAAGTCTTGACTGATAAATAGTACTTGAAGGAGCTCAGACATCCCGGCAGGCAGTCGAGGCAGTTCAACTGAACACTTCACACGAGGCATTGAGGTGTTTGACGCGTGTCTTCCGCACAAATCAGGCTGGAACTTGCGGTCTTTTTCGTGGTCATGAAGAAGCCCTATGAGGAGCCACGCGATTTCACCTTGACAGCAGACCTATGGGACCGACAATTCTCACCTCTCGAATCATACGCAGCTACAGATGGCGAACCTAGGGACAAACATTCAGGAACAGCCGGACGAAAGCGCCCGAGAACGAGGAACAGCCAGGGGCCCGAACCCGTGGAGCGACCACACAGACTTGAAGATGGCTTCAGTGCTTCTTGCGGAGTCTCTGGGCAGTTTTTGTGGCCTTCCAAGCTTGCTCACTTGCGGTCGCGCTCTCCTCGGATCCCAGCAGACTCTTCAACAGGTTTTTACCGCTGAGTCGGGAGCTATGCTTAAGGCACATGATGCCAAAACAGACAAAATCCAGCCCATGCAAGGAGCTCTTTCTCACGGGTGACACTTCGCAGACGGTGTCACGAGCCGTCGAGTTTCGTTTCTGCGATCTGCAGTCTCTTGGCTGCCTTTTGAAGCTGTTGTCGGCAGCTCCGGCTTGCGCTGAGTCTCAAGAGCCTTCAAGGTCCCTTTTCCATCATTTCAATCGAAGTGAGCCGCTTGGGCATGGTAATGAGAGTCCAGCTCGCCGGCATGCACGCAAAGCCAGTGCTGAATCGGGCTTCTGCAATCCAGCAGAGCAGGGTCCGAACCAGCCCCGAGGAAAGTACCAGAGTTGGATCAGCTGCTGATCAACTACCGCAGCCACCAGAAGCCACCTGGCATCCTTTCGTCCTTTGCAGACTTCTGGCTCCAGAGGCTCTCGGAGTGCTTCCCGCACGGGCCCTTGCAGCGGCGGGCAAAGCTTTCTGCAAAGGATCCTCGCGCTTTCCCACCGCGGCGTGGTGCAACCGTTGGAACTGGCATTCCCGCAGTTTGCCTGCATGATCATTATCATTATCTTGTGTCGTAATTATCCGGCTGTACTCTGCTGGCTTGGTTCCATCTGCTGCATCTCGGTGGATGGGTCGGACTCGGCCAGGCATGCCATCGATAAGCTGGCCGCGGACACGGGCCACCGTGCAGCTTGTCCGGAGTCGTAGAAAGAGTCTATATCCCAGTCGTCTAAGGATGGCGCATCTCTCGGCAATGCAATTGCAGCCTGACTTCGCATCATTCCACACACATGCAGCGTGCCACTACTTGGGATACACAGGCGGTGATGGCAAAGCATGGTGCAGCCCGTTTTGTCGCAATGCGGACGGAGCTCGGACTTGCCAGTGCCACTCGTGGCCCACTGTACCGAAGGTTCGATTCGAGCTCCACCCTACAGTAGTTGCCCCGGACAATCTGACGTTCCCAGGATGGTGTGCTGCCGGTCATCGTCAAGGATGTAGCCCTGGAGGATGCGCACTGCACAAGATAGTACTCGTAGCATGCAGGCCTATGGAACTGATGCTTTTTGTTTGGCTGCACTTTTGCAATCTATAGATCTATTGAAGGTTATAGTTGCTGACAAGTTCCAGCTTTAGTGCTTGAACATGTTCCCCGTCAGTGGATCTGTCGCGTGCAGATGTACCTACAGTAGTGTCCGTGTGGCATGTTGCCTGGTCGCAGCATGATCGACTCGAGTCCGAGTGAGTGAGAGCGAGTGCGTGAGTGCAGGAGAGATAAAGATAGAAGCCGACAAGACCACGTAGCCTATACTCTTACATATATTCCTCGCTTGTGTACTCCATTCGGTATGTTCCCATTCGGATGATATTGCAGCCTCAAAAAGCGATCGGACAGTAAGGCAGTCTTCACGGGCGCAGGTGACCGCCCTGTAGAATCCCAGTCTGCCAGTTCGGCACGGCTCGAGGAACGGGGCTAGCTACAGAAAGCGTACTCGTGATCCCAATCCTTGCGGCATAGAGGTACTTGGGTGGGAGGCATACGCAGGAATTGTCACGGGGACACTTCGTACATGTACAGGATTTTTTGCCATTGCCCCGACGGTTAGTAGGATCTGGCGCAGCACATGTTCAACCTCGACGCCTGCACCATGGATCATCTACAGAGGGTCTCTGTTTCCAAGCGAGATTGACATTCGCGATAGAGTTGCCGAAATCAAGCGGCACCAATCCAGTTTGCAGCTCAGGCAGTGCAGGCATTGCCTTCGGAGCCAGCCAATGCATCCTCGCATGCGCCTTACCCTTCCCCTTTGTGGACTTCTCTGTGAATGCCTTAATTTATACCCTCGGAGAAGATTCCATCAACATCAGCTGGAGCGCGCTCAGTCTTTGTCTTCATTGAACCACGAGCCTTCCAATTAACAGGCGCGTCAAATCATATTGCCTTATGTTTCTGGCCATTCCCCGTACCTCTCATGCAGTCTTCAAACCGTGTCGCGGCAAACAGTCAACTTGCTGTGCGAGACCGTGTGAGGTTCGCAACGAGGCTTCCAGACTCTTGGCAGTATGTCAGGAGTCGTGGGCAAAACGTTTGGTTTGCATGTATGATGCTTCAATCTCTGCCTGGAAGGAGTCTCAGTGTACTGACTTAGAGTAAGACGTAGAGTAGAGCAGCACTGCGGCGATAACGCATATGTGCTAGCCAGTCGTGCCCGCTTGCAGCTAGGCCATGATAATTTGGAAACAACACCATGGAAATGGCAGTGTACATCCGGCAATTGATGCTCTGAACTTCGAATTCTGTCATGGCCACTGCCGAAGAAACGGTGGCACTGTTTGGACAGAATGCACAGAAGATTCGCAAGACAGCGCTCAAGGAAAGAAGCTGCCGCAGTCACTGTCCAATGCTCTCGTGCTCACGGTGGAGCAATCAAAAGGCCTCGAGTTCGACGCGCCTTGGCCAGAAGCTGCTAGATGTAGTGGGGCAGCTTGTTGCATAAGGTTTGCAGCGTGTTTAACAGCTTAGCAGATGAAAGCATGTGGGTCATGTAGTAGATCGCAGTTGCCGAAGTGTTTTGCTTCGTCTTGGTCGGACGCAGATCTGGCAGAGCCTCGCCGTCTTGTGCAACAGAAGGATATGCTCATGTTTGAGGATACGGATAGGTTCAGGTCCATGTTGCAGGTGCACACAGGGTGAATCTCGTCGCTTGCCACCTACGCCTCAGGCGTCGTAGTGCTGGCACCGGAAGCAGTCCAGGCTTCAATTTCTCCACTGAGTCACTCACTCGCTGACTGACTGACTGACTGACGGACTGACCGACAGACTGACTTACTTGTTTTAATAACCCTGCTTGCTTGCTGGCTCATGGACTTGCTCACTGATTTCCTTCACTTGCCTCAACTTAGTTACTCATTTATGGTGGTATCGAGTGACAATCACCGCACCACATCTCGTCGAAGAAGATTGGTATCAATATGAAGTTCTCGGAATGTGAATGGTATCCACACGCCTAGTTCCTCTAGCTAGATTTCAACATATGAATGTTTGAAGAGACAGATCTAGACAGCGATTGCCACTCAAACCCCAGCCGGCCCGGACCCATGTTGCTGCTTGTACAGGACTGCATCTTGGTGAATTTCTTCACGGACTCCATGTACGAGGAGCCGCCAGACAGCATGCGTGTGGGAAGACTTGTTGTTTAACTGCCGACCGCTCAGCCGGGGTTGAGGGCGGCAGCGGCATTAGCTTGCGATTTGCGGCTATTCCGAAGCATCGTTCTGTGCTGCACGTGCACATCATGCCAGTGCTGTGGGCGACTGCAGATTCCCAGGTGGCAGACGATGAAGATCTTTCTTCCAGACCTCTTGGAAGGGCAGTCGAAGGCGGCAATTCGTGCGCGGACTTGGGGCACCCATGGCCACCGAGAAGTCGGAGCCCGTCACTTCCCCCCTCGTCGAGTTTCGGGCTGGGAGTTTGCAGCACAGCTGAAGGGCCTTGTGACCCTTGCTCATGAAAGCACCGCACGCTGCAAGAGCTCAACCATGGCCATGGGTTGTTCAAGCTTAGAAAGGCAGAGACAGCGCAATGCACGGCACGCTGGCAAGTCACACCAGAGTGTATTCTCGTGAACCCTGCTACGGACACACAACTTTTTCCTCAAGCACCTGCTGCTAAGACCTGTTTGAGGACGCAGCTGCACATCGAAAACGCCCACAGTTTGAGAACTTTCGTCATGCGTTGCTCTGCAGCTTGACATGGAGGAGCAGGAGCTAGGCTTACACGCGTAGGCTGGGGTGGTGGTGGGGTTGATCCGATGGAGAGCTACATACAGTAGGTCTCGAGGTTACGGGTGAGTTCATGTCCATGTCGAAGGGTTCGAGAAGGGAACAGGGGACCCAGCTTAGTTGATTCATTTTGCACCATGATGCAAAAGCGAGTGCCACTGCGAAGAATGCTGTAGATGCCTGCTACAGTAGATGGCAATCATAGCTTCTATTACATCAGAATCGGGCTGTTGCAATCCACCTCTGCAGTTTTGCGCATTTTGCTAAAATCTAGACTGCGACGGGAGCTAGTTTTCCTATGCTGCCATGCAGCGTTGTACAATCATGTGCTTGGCAGAGATGCCGGCGTCTACTCATGCTGTACACTTTGAAGCGTATTCTTCCTGTCTTGTCTTGGAGTTGCACTTTTGGCCGTCAGTCCTTCCAAGGCTCAGAGCTCAAGCACCTGTACACAGCCATTACGCGCACGAAGCATGTGCCTGCTGGACGCATGTGTTCGGGGTGCGCGGGTGTAGCAGTCGCAGGTGGGGTTTTGATGCGTTCAGGGACTCGCCGTCGTGGAAGTTTGTGCTGATTAGTGCTGGTTCAAGTGGGGTTTGTTTAGTCAGGGAAGGCCTTGCCCATTTTGGGTAATTGCACCACCGTGGCCCAGATCATAGCCATAATATCCTAAAACACTTTACCATATAGAAAATATTGTGCAATTATCTAAAATGGACAAGGTAAGGGGGTCGCCCAGTTTGGGGTATTACATCACCGTGAACATATA